AGGTTTAGCTGGAGGGGGCTGGCTGTGCTCGGTAGGGCTGGGGGGAGAGTTAATATGGGGTGCAAGAGTGAAAAGCCAACATGGCGGAAACGTGGGTTGTTGGTGTATGGGGAGATGAGCTGAGGTCTTTTTTTGAGGGCAGGGGGACGGTAGACCTAAATACATGGAGTGGCAGGAATGTAGAGGGAAGTGTTTTGAGTGGAGTGGGGTGGGTTGCCAGCTCTGGGTTGGGAAATACCTGGATATTTTTTTGGGGGGAGCCTGAGGAGGGCACGATTTGAGGCATAATGCCACAGTGTCCGACTTCCAAAGTATCCATTTTCTCCAAGTGAACTGATCTCTGTCACCTGGAGATCAGTTGGAACAGTGGGAGATCTCCAGCCACCACCAGGAGGTTGGCAACTCTAGTCGAGGAGAAGTTGGTGGGAGAGAGAAAAATCTTGGGGTCGCAAAAAGTGGGAGGCCGGTTGAGGAGGGTGGTTGGAGAGGAAGGTGGTAAGTCTGGTGACCAAAACAAGGGCTTGGGGGGTTTCTGGCAAGGAAAGGAAACGGAGAATGAAGAATTGGAGGGAAGCCAAAAAGATAAAGAGGACGTGGCTGGGCTTTTTGAAGAGGGACAGCTTAGGAAAATTTGGGGGCAGTTTTGTGATTGGGCAGGCTGGAGGGAGAACTCAGGAGGGTCACTGAGGGCCGGCCAGTGGGGAGAGAGCCTGGGGTGGGTTAGGGTAAAAGTTCAGTGTGGAAAGCAGCGTTTGACAGAATAACGCACCTCACCAACTTTGACTGTTTTAAACAGGGTCTATTCTGTTCTGCAAAGCTTGTGAGGATGATCTTTCTGAAAATGAAGGGTATTCGGCTGTCTTAAACTAGGGAACAAGCGCAAAAGGTTGATTCTGTGGAGGGAGAGGAGAGCGGGGTAGGTGATGGAGGTGCCTCATCCCCAAAATGTGTTCTGTCTCCCCAGGGAGGCAACAATGCAGGCCACACTGTTGTGGTGGATTCGGTTGAATACAACTTCCATCTCTTGCCCAGTGGAGTAATCAACCACAGCGCCACGTCATTCATTGGTGAGTAACTGTGCATACTGTCACGGTTGGGAAAGGCAGCACACTCCTGAGGACGAAGCCGCCCTGAGCCTGCTTCGTCGGGGAGGGCAGGGTATAAATCAAATCACTCCAATGTGTCCGATAGGAATCCACTAACCCTGTTACTGTTAGCCGCTTAGGCTTTGTTTGTATATTCCATTGCATTTTAATGTATTTATTGTTTTAGTTTTTAATGTTGTTAGCTGCATTGAGCTAACCCTGTGGCAAGGCGGGGTAAAAATGGAAATAAATAAATAAATAAATACAAAACCTCACCTTAGCTGCCACCCAGGGAATCCTCCATAATTTCTTCACACTACCACTTCTGTTTCATCTGCTGCCTCAAGTTGTCCTGCTTCTCTTCTTCTTTATAAATCTTGAGGGCACTCTCCAATCATCAGAGCATCTTCCTTACACAAGGAATTTCCCCCTCCGTCCCCCCCGTGTGATTGCTGATGCCTGAATTATTTTACTGTCTCAGGAAATGGTGTCGTCATCCACTTGCCAGGACTCTTTGAGGAAGCTGAGAAAAATCTGAGAGAGGGCCAGGTGAGTGACCCCCCCCCCACCTACATGCAACTGCCTCTGAAGGGAGGGGGGATAGTGTTAAGGAGGAATCGGGGAGGAACTGTTAGAGGCAATGCGAGGTCTGTCGTAGTCATGATTATGAGTTGCAGAATTTGGTCTCCTCCAGAGCACTATCCATCAGTTTTCTGCAAATACCACCCTAACTTTTTCATTAACAAAAACATTGATGATATAAACACAAATGCTAACAGGAAGGCAGTCTTCAAAACTCTTTTTTAGTTCATTTATTCTCTTTATACATAAGCTGCTTTGAGTCCCCCATATGGCATGAGAAAAGCGGGATGTAAATATTTTCAGTAAATAGATACATGTATGCTGATGGTGTTCAAGGTCACATGTATACTGCCTTTCCTTCAAGGAGTCCAGGGCAAAGTACACCATTCGATCCTGTGAGGTAGGTTAGGCTGAGAGAGTGTGAGTGTGGCCGAGTGGGGATTCTCACCTAGGTCTCTCCGGTCCTAATCCAGCATTTTAAGCACTGCATCACACTGGTTTTCTAATAGGAATATTTTTTTAAAAAACCCAAGATGGACATTAAAAGCTGGAATTGGCAACGAAGAGAGCTGTAAATCATGACCAATTAAGAAGCTGATGTTCTGAAAATTAAAGAGGCAGGACTAGTTAAGTCTCCTTCAGAAATTCCACAAACCGAGCCACTTCTGAGAAAGCCCTGCTATACCTGGTCAACAGTCTAGCCTTTGTTCTTGATGCTCTGAGAACAGAGGGAGGCTGTGACAGGTTTTCAGTAGACTTATAGATTGTCAGTTATTATTAACATTGTGTATTTTCAGTTACACAAATGGGCTTACGTACACTGTCCCTTGGTTGATCCCTTGCTCTGAACTTTGACATTTGAGCCCATATGGTGTAGTGGTTATAGTGTCATAGGAGGATCTGGGAGAACCGAGTTCAAGTCCCCACTGTGGGAATGGAAGCTTGCTGAGAGACCTTGGGCCAGTCACCCTCTCAGCCTAACGAGGATAAAATGCAGGAGAGGAGAATTATGTAAGCCACCTTGCTTCCCCATTGGGGACAAAGGTGGGGTATAAATGAAGTAAAAATGTGTATTAACATTGTGTATTTTCAGTTACACAAATGGGCTTACGTACACTGTCCCTTGGTTGATCCCTTGCTCTGAACGTTGACATTTGAGCCCATGTGGTGTAGTGGTTATAGTGTCATACTAGGATCTAGGAGAACCGAGTTCAAGTCCCCACTATGGAAATGGAAGCTTGCCGAGAGACCTTGGGCCAGTCACCCTCTCAGCCTAACGAGGATAAAATGCAGGAGAGGAGAATTATGTAAGTCATCTTGCTTCCCCATTGGGGACAAAGGTGGGGTATAAATGAAGTAAATAATGTGGTTTGGCTCATTAATGATAAAAGGTTGCTGATGAAAGTCCTTTTCCAGGTCATTTTTTGCAGGTGAAGAATCTGCCTCTGTGTCAGCTAAATCCCGCTGTTTCCAAAATAGTTAGAGATTCTGGGTGGTGGCGTTCCAACCAAACATCTAAAAACAAATGTCACGTAATGCCTTTTTTTGTTGGTGATACATTCTTTGGCCAGCGTGGCTGCCTCTCTCTTCACTTGGCAGTGCTTCCTGTCCTTCCCCATGGTTCCCACTGTCAAGACTCCTGCAGCAATCAGTTCCCAACAGCTTTCATTCAAAGAAGTAGAGTTTATTGAGACATTGAAAGTATGCAGATATCTTAACACTTTTGTATTAGAACTGGCATAAAGTGCGCTAAGCAAGCTGATATACATTATTCAAGGGGGTCCCTGACGGCTCAGGTCCAATCAGAGGCCAGGTAGAAACCCGCCAAAGTAACATGATTCTCAGGAGAAAAGACTGGAAACACAGCAGAAACGAAAGTCAAAATTCCAGCGTCCCCCCTCACTACCCATGGCAGCTAGAATAGCCAGAGGCCGAGCTGACGCCCACTTCCTACTGCATGTTCCTCTACAACACACTGTATAGGCCTCATTCTGCTTCTTGTTCATTGTTTGCAGTAACAACATTGGGGGGGGGGTGAGTCTTTGTCTCAAATCTGCTGAACTAAATTTGTGTCTAATCAGTAGCAGTGTTGATCTTGTAACATCTGCCTCATTTTGTTTAGTATCCACACTGTTGCATTCGTCTTGCAAAACTTGAGTTATGGAGTTTTGCATGACTGCAGTATCAAACTGTCGTCCCCACTCATGAGCGCTGGAAATCTGTGATTTTGGTCCGCTGTTGATTTCTGTAGATGTGCTGGGGTTTGACTCTGCTCAGGAATTCCAGTTCCTGAGCTAGAAACTGTGTCGCTAACTGGGGAACTCTCTCAGTAGGAAGAGAAATACACTCTGTCATTGTTCTGGACAGTAGAAAAAATGGGCGAAACAGTGCAAAGGCTTTATACAAAAGAACCCACTGTGTATAGAGGCTTACACAAATTTGTTAGACAGGTAATCATATATTAAAATACATGTTGTTTATTGCAATCAGGTAAAGCTGATATTTTTTAGTATTCTGTGGTAGAAATTGCATCATATGTGGGAGTAGGATTGTAGATTGTTGTATTTATCTATCTTGCTTTTACTATACCGTCTTTTGTAAACTGCTTTCTGCATTGTTTATGGTAGGTCATGGCTTTTTGACTAAGACAATTATCTGTTTACATTGTTCTGCAGTCCTGGTCCTATTGTGGGAAGGGGCTGTGGCTCAGTGGTAGAGCATCTGCTGGTCATGCAGAAGGGCCCAGGTTCAATCCCTAGCATCTCCAGTTAAAAGGCCCTGGAGACCCTGGAGAGTCGTTGCCATTCTGAGTAGACAGTACTGACTTCAATGGACCAAGGGTCTGATTCAGTATAAGGCAGCCTCATGTGTGTGCTTATTGAATTTGATATGCCATCTGAATTCTTTTTATATTTTGTAATCTGTCTTGAGTCTCAGTGAGAAAGCTGGGCCATCAGTGAAATGAATAAGTAAATTTGTCCTTTAGAGTCGGTGTGCCGCACATGTTGAATGAAGCAATGGAATTATTTTCATGAATTGTTCTTCCTCCTCAGGTTTGGAAGGTTGGGAGTCTCGGACAGTGATTTCAGACCGCGCCCACCTTGGTGAGAGCCAGTTACAAAGAGCCTGGGGAATGGGTAACAAGTAGAAGAGGGTGCGGCCTTTCTCCTTTTTACATCTTCCCTTTTCTCTGCACCAGTGTTCAATTTCCACCAGGCCGTGGATGGGATCCAGGAGCAGCAGAGACAGCAGCAAGGTGGCAAAAAGTAAGGAAGTCTTGGGCATGCTGGTTGGGGGCAGGGTAGGGGCTTGCATTTCCTTCCAAGTAGAATTTGGGACCTCTGGGGAGGAGGCTTTATTTATTTTTATCCCGTCTTAGGGCAGCTTACATAGTTAGGATCCCCCGTATCTGATCCTCATAACAACCTCATGAATTAGTTTAGGCTGAGAGAGAATGACTGGCTCAAAGTCACTCAAGGTGCAATCCTAAACAGAGTAGAAGAAGAGAAGAGATTGGATTTATACCCCGCCCTTCACTACCCAAGGGAGTCTCAGAGCGGCTTACAAACTCCTTTCCCTTCCCCTCCCCACAACAGACACCCTGTGAGGTAGGTGGGGCTGAGAGAGCTCTGACAGAAACGGCTCTTTTTCAAGGACAGCTCTTATCAGAACTATGGGTTGCCCAAGGTCATCCAGCCAGGTGCAAGTGGAGGAGTGGGGAATCAAGCCCGTCCTCCCAGATTAGAGTCCGTGCACTTAACCACTACACCAAACTGGGCTCCCTTCTAAGCTCTATTAACGTGAATTGACTTAGAAGGATATAATGCTGACCTGACCTGCATAGCCCAGGCTAGCCCAGTCTCATCAGACCTTGGGAGCTAAGCAGAGTTGGCCCTGGTTAGAATTTGGATGGGAGACCTCCAAGGAAGTCCAGGGTTGTGGCACAGAGGCAGGCAGTGGCAGTCGGCATAGGTTAGCTGTGACTGGCAAAAAAAAAACCCCAAACAAACAAACAAAAAACCCTGCTTGGGATTACACTGCTGCTGTGTTAAGTCGCACCCCGAGGATTTGAAGCCAGCTCTCCCTAGTCCTAGCCCATCACTCGAACTACTGTCCCCCTGTGGAGTTCACCTTGTGGCTGGGGTTGTAGGGTGAGGGTTCGGCCTGCTGTTGTTGTTCATACTGGTATTGTGCAAGAACAACAGAGTACAGCACAGCATACAAAATACTCAGTACATTGTATTTTGTTCAGTTTTTATCCTGCACTTTCTCCAAGGGGTTCAGGGTGGCGTACATGAGATAATTTAGTTTTACACACTGGGTCAAAAGGCCACGAAATGCAAGAGATCTGTAACGTTTCTATATAAAGCTCAAAGGTGTGTTTGATATGCCCAATTACCATTCCCAGCACTGGGAGCTGGACTGGAGGAGATAAGATTGTGTTATCTCCAGTTGCCACTATTATCAATGGTCACTGTTCTTATTGTTGGAGCTTGCACACATTTCTGTGAAATCCGGTGTGACTTCTAGTCCGGAAAAACTTACACCACAATCAGTGGTTCTTTCTGGAGCTATAAGAACATAAGAGAAGCCAATGTTGGATCAGGCCAATGGCCCATCCAGTCCAACACTCTGTGTCACACAGTGGCCAAAAATACCAGGTGCCATCAGGAGGTCCACCAGTGGGACCAGAACACTAGGAGCCCTCCCACTGTCGCAGCTGTTTTCTGCTACCCCTCTGTAACTTTGTGCAAAGCTTGGTAAAAGATACAGAACTGGTGCAGTCCCTGTCCAGTAGCCTTAGGGGCTTATCAGCATTCCCTGTGGGAAGGTCTAAATATTTGACACAAGTAATGAAGAGGAGGGGGAGCAGTTGACTTTGAGATGCAGAGAGGTGCCCCAGGTGTAAAGGGGTATCGTGGCAGAAGGTGTGGAAGGAGGTAAAGAGGATGAGTTGAAGACGAGCTAGTAAGGAGGGGAGTTCGGGAATGGAGAAAGGAGGGGAAAGAATGCTCGGAGACAAGTAATAAGCGTCTCAAACTTGCTCATGTTCCTTTAACCCAGTGTTCAGTCCCCTGCTCTTCCCCACACCTGCCATGATGGATTTTTCTTACCTCAAGCGGTGAACTTTCCCAGCCTGACCTCTCCCTAGAAGCTAAAATGACTGAACTGAAGCTATCATATTTGGGTCACGTTGTGAGAATTCAGGACTAACTGGAAAAGACAATACTGCTAGGGAAAGTTGAAAGTAGTAGGAAAAGAGAAAGTCCAAGCATGAGATGGATCGGCTCGATGAAGGAAGCCACAAGGGCCTTCAGTTTGCAAGACCTGAGCAAGGCTGTTGTTGATGGGATGTCTTGGAGGTCATTCATTTATAGGGCCGCCAGAAGTCAACAGTGACTTGATGGCACTTCACACACACACACACACACGCTGTGATGGAAGGAGAATTCCTCTGGCCACTTGAATGTTAGCAGTGCAAACAAAGCGCTATCCTGAGTGACTTGCCAGGGTAGAGATCTGGTTTGAAGTCCACCAGAAACAGCCCAGCATGGGTCTTTTTTGTTTTGTTTTTAAAGCCCAAGCAGAATGATAGATTGTAACTTGTCAACATTAGCTGGGATATTCCTCCCAGTCTGTTCTAGTGGTTTTCTTTGGCAGGTGTCGTTTCATCCCAATTTCTTTTGCAGCCTTGGCACAACCAAGAAGGGGATCGGCCCTGCGTATTCCTCCAAGGCTTCACGGACTGGCCTGCGCATCTGCGATCTGTTGGCAGATTTTGATGAGTTCTCCAAGAAGTGAGTTGGGAGGGCAGAAAATATAGGATGGGGGGGGGCTGTAGGTGGGAGAGGAGCTTGAAGCAGCATATTGTCTTGCTCTGAATGACTCTGACGAAGCCTGATTCAGATCCAGGCTTGGTCTTAAGGAGCCTGGGGAGTCCAGCAAAGTTTCCTGTGTCAGAACAGTAATCTCCTAGCAAGAGGCGTTTGTCTGTTGTTTGTCTAGTACATGAGTAAACATGACTAGAGAATCTTTGCCTCCCTTTAGCCTTTGTTAAAACATTAACTATAAATATGGTTTAACATTTATTGATTGATTCGATTTGATTTATGTCCTGCCCGCCCCCGTGAACGGGCTCAAGGCGGGTCACAGCATATCAGTTAACACATAAAATAATTGAGCGTTCAAACAAATGATAATTAAAGCACGTTAAGAATAAAATGACATATAGGAACCAAATTACAATCAAGTCAGGGTTAACTGACTTGAAAATAACACAAACAATTTATTTTACGTGGACAGCATTTGCATGAATTCGGTAAAATTGTCTTACGCAAAAGTAAACAGGATCACAGGCAAAGAGCTTCCCCCAAGAAGAAACACATAATTCAGATTCCCATTAGGTTTTTAGAATCATCTCTGACAGCTTGATGGGCCTCACCTTCTTGAGTTCATATTTTCTATACTCACACGTCCTCTGAAGTCATATAAATGCTATATTGATACATTCTTGCTACTGTTAATCATAACCTCATCCTACACCATCTATCTCCGCCATCCTTCCTGCTCCATCACAGCCCCCACAGCTTCACTCCCTTTCTTCATTCCCTCCCATTTCCTGTCTCATCCTATCAGCTGCTTTCCCTCCTGTCCTTTTACTCCTGGCAAGTAATGATCAAGCAAACAGAGGGGGGTGCAGTATGATATGGATGCACACAGAATAGAATTACTGCAACCAGTGCATATAACAAACATGTATTAACTATATTAATGCTTTTACAAATTGTATTCACAGAAAGATAAAGCCAGTGTTAATAAAGATGGATGGATGAGAGGGGTAAAAGGGTTTTCGCACAGCCACGAGCGCCAGCTATCCTGAGGGAAACTTCGGAGGGAACCAGCTACTAGACGGTTCGATTAGTCTTTCGCCCCTATACCCAGGTCGGACGACCGATTTTTACCCCTCTCATCCATCCATCTTTATTAACATTGGCTTTATCTTTCTGTGAATACAATTTGTAAAAGCATTAATATAGTTAATACATGTTTGTTATATGCACTGGTTGCAGTAATTCTATTCTGTGTGCTTTTACTCCTGGCAGCTTTTTATTGTGTGTTTGTGCTTTCTTGACTCTCCCATTTCCCCACTTTTGTTCCATTTCTCTCTCCTCTAACCTGCATTCTGCCTTGCCTTGCCTCGCCTGCCCGCCCATTCCATCTTTCCCCAATTCATCTCCAGGGTTGAAGTGAACCTGTAGTAGCCATTTTGGATTATGAGAGCTGCCTACGCAATCCAGAATGGCTGCCCAGGTCTTGTGAGGAAATCCTGTAAAATCTCGGTATTTTAAAAACTTTTTTTTTGTTTTCTTCCCTACTCCTTTACTGTTTTAAAATTGAAGGCTTTTCTGCAAACTGGGTTATTCCCCCTCCATACTTGGCCCTAATCTGCAGCTTTAGCAATCCACATAAGATTCAGATATAATGGTGTAGATAGATATGACGGACTGTTTCTGTACTAGCCAAGGCCTTGTTATTCTATAGCTTTTTTACTCCTTGCCCTTCTCCAAGACTGCTCTGTTCCAGTGTCCGTTTGCACTGGGTTTGGCATATGCCAGTATTTGTCAGAGAAACGGGGCCAGCTCTGATTCTGGCCTGGAAGAACACCTGCCAGGATCTGCTTCAGTCAAGACCAGCAATTGTTTCCCTGTATTCCTGACCAGATCCATGCCAGTTTGCGCCGAATTGCATGGGGTAGATTGGATTGAGGGCTGTGATGAACAAGTCCATGGTAGGTTTGAGTCCAGCGGCACTTTTAAGACCAACAGTGTTTAATTCTAGGTATAAGCTTCAGATATCTGAAGAAATGTGCATGCTCATGTAAGGTTATACCCCAAAATAAACTTTGTTGGTCTTAAAGGTGCTTCGGATCAACATGGCTACCCCACCTGAATCTATGTGTGATCCCCATGTAACTGGCTCAGCAGTAATGCCTCTCTGTCTCTCAGGTTCAAGGTCTTGGCTCAGCACTACAAAGCGACATACCCATCTCTCACCATTGACACGGATGGTGAACTGCAGCAACTGAAGGTGATTGATTGGCAGGAGTGGGTGCTCCTGGTTTCTTTGACCACTGAAAATTGTGCTTCTCAGCAGCGTCTGAGATACTGCTGGATATTGCCACTGCAGCGCATCCCGATTCAGCCACCGCTCCAGATCACAGCCTGCACTAATCATCCTTTTTAGCTTCCAAATGTACAACAGGCAAAGTGTGGCTTTAGAGCTGCTTTGCATATTTCTGCTTTCCTCCCGATCACTACTCCTATTTCTGTGGAGCTGTGACCCCCAGAGGTGGGGCATGTGCCATGTGCTGTAGCTTGTAAATTCAGACCACACACCGTGGTGAGAAAACATGTTTATTTATTCAATTTACATTATTCATAGTATGCTTTTCTCACAGGGACTCAAGGTGGGTTACGCGCAGTGAGGCACTGCAGTCACAAAAATGGGATGTTCAATAACCAGTGTGTTTGGATTTTGGAACTACCCGAAAGAACTGAAGCATGGCATAAGAATTAACATGATACATTGAGCAGTGCAAAAATTTCATAATAGGATCCTACTTGCATTGAGCTGTATACAGCAGTATAGATTAGTTTTTGATCATTTGTCCAAGCAAGTTTGTAAAACCATTTTGTGCAGTGCAGCTTTATTACCTGTGTAGAAAAGCCCTCTTGAATACTTCAGTTTTGCGTAGTCTGCAGAAAGCCAAGGGAGTGGGAGCTTTCCTGACCTTCTCGGGCAGGCCGTTCCACAAGGCAGGAGCCACAGTGGAGAATGGCGTATGTACAGGCAGTTGTTGATTTTGCCTGTTTGCAGGTTGGTGCCTGCAGAAGCCCCTGCTGTCTTGAGTGGTTGCCGTGGCTTTCCTCGAATGGTAGTTTCTCATTCTTCTCACAAACCATGGCTGGTCAATTCAGACTTCCCACCAAACCACGGTTTTGCAAACTCCCTCCCACCCATCCTGTGCTAATTCATCCAGCCTCCTTAGCCATGGTTTGGTGCGATGTCTGGATGGAGCCAGCAGGGCTGCTCTTCACATCCACATGGTGGATTAGAAACTTCCTCTGCCCAGCGCCAAATCCCACAGTTACTGCCATAGCTAGTTTATCCCTTGAGGCCCACAATTCGCTTTAAAGCAATGAAACACGGAGCTCCTTCGTTTGGAACTTATTCGGGCTTTTATTCTGTTGGCAGGAATATGCGGAGAAGATCCGCCCGTTAGTGAAGGATGGTGTTTATTTCATGTACCAGGCCCTACATGGTCCAGCCAAGAAGATCCTTGTGGAGGGGGCAAATGCTGCATTGTTGGACATAGACTTTGGTAAGACATTCTTACCCCCCCTCACGCATTTCCCCCACTTATAGGTACTGCTTGGCACAGACATGCTGTCATATTCAAACCACATAGTGTGTTTACACGGAGAGGAGGAGAGCCTGGCAAATGGCTATTTCCTCAAACAAACTGGGTCCCCAGCAAAGGATGTGGAGTGCCTAATGCTTGAATCAGCCACAAGCTTGGTCTACCCTGCTTCTTATCAGTCTCAATTTTTTTGTGATTCTTTACTTGCTGCTTGGCCCCTTTACTCCTGTTTCCCCCCTGTGTTTTGTTTGTTTTCCTTCTGAACAGCAGAAGTCTTGGAATTAAAGCGGTGCTGGGAAGGAAAGGTTACATTACTTCCCGTTTCAGGGGGGGGGAACCCTTTTCCTACTCTAGAGAGGACACGGGAATGTCTAAAGTTGCCTGTATATGTATGTGTGTGTCTCTGCGCACGTGCCCTGAGCTGGATGGGTCAGACCAGCCTGATCTCGGAAGCTGAACTGGATCGGCCCAAGTCAGTATTTGGGCGGGAGTCTTCCAAGGCATACAAGGGTTGCTACGCAGAGGCAGGCAGTGGCGAACAACCTCTGTTAATCTCTTTTCTGGAAAACCCTATAGGGTTGCCATAAGTCACCGCAACTCGACAATACATTTTACACACACACACACACTTTCTTCATTCATTTTTTATGTACTGTGTATAGAGTCCACCTTTCTCACTGAGACTCAAGGTGAGTTATGCAGTGTAAGTCAATGCAATTAACAGAATGAGGCATCTAATAAGCAATGCGCTAAGAGTAGGATTATGGAATTCTGAAACAAGCATCGAATATTAGACTTGATTCAGAACATAGACACAGTGCAGAGAAATTGTGTTACATCTTCAGATTTCCCCCCCGTCAAGTCACAGCTGACTTATGGTGACCCCCCTCATGAGGTTTTCAAGGCAAGAGGCAAACAGAGGTGATTTGCCATTATCTGTCTTTGTGTTGTGACCCTGGACTGTCTTGGAGGTCTCCCATCCAAATACTAACCAGGGCCAACCCTGTTTAGCTTCTGAGATCTGACAAGATTGAGCTAGCCTGGGCCATCCAGGTCAGGGCACACATCATCAGGTCCAACGCAGAAAAATGGCTTTACGTCAGTGGAAAATAGTGCAGCAACAGCAGAATAAGACATACATCAAACAGAGACGGCAGCCTTAGTCCATGTTCCCTTTTCATTTGTAGTATAGATAGATAGTTCTGAAGGAACTCAAATATGAACTTGTGGATCTCCTGACAAAAATATGTAATTTTTCATTAAAATCTGCCTCCATTCCTGAGGACTGGAAGGTAGCTAATGTCACTTCCATCTTTAAAAAGGGTTCCAGGGGAGATCCAGGAAATTACAGGCCAGTCAGTCTGACATCGATACCGGGTAAGTTGGTGGAAACTGTTATTAAGGAAAGAATTAGTAGGCACATAGATGGACAAAAACTACTGAGGCAGACTCAGCATGGGCTCTGTAAGGGAAGGTCTTGTCTCACTAACCTGTGAGTGTTTTTTGAGGGAGTGAAGAAACATGTGGACAAGGGGGACCCAACAGATGTGGTTTACCTTAACTTCCAGAAAGCTTTTGATAAAGTTCCTCATCAAAGGCTCCTAAGTAAGCTCAATAGTCATGGGATAAAAGGACAAGTGCTTTTGTGGATCAAAAACTGGCTAATTAATAGGAAACAGAGAGTATAAATGGGCAATTTTCTCAATAGAGGGTGGTAAGTAGTAAGTACGTACAGGGGTCAGTACTCGGTCCGATGTTTTTTAACTTGTTCATTAATGATTTGGAGTTGGGAGTAAGCAGTGAAGTGGCTAAATTTGCAGATGACATGAAGTTGTTCAAGGTGGTGGGAACCAGGGAGGATTGTGAGGCACTCCAAAGGGATCTGTTGAGGGTGGGCGAGTGGGCGTCAACATGGCGAATGGGGTTCAGTGTGGCCAAGTGCAGAGTGATGCACATTGGAGCTAAAAATCCTAACTATAAATACACATTGATGGGGTCCAAACTGGCAGAGACTGACCAAGTGACAGATCTTGGAGTCGTAGTGGATAACTCACTGAAAATGTTGCCTCAGTGTGCAATAAAAAAGGCCAATGCTATGCTGGCGATTATTAGGAAGGGAATTAGATCAGGATATGGAGCAGAGCTCCATCAGTGGCTATTAGCCACAAGGTATAGATAGGAAGGAGATGCAGTGGCTCAAGTGGTTAAGATGCTGAACTGTAGGCTGGAAGGTCGGTAGTTCAGCAGTTCGTGACCCAAGTGCCACATGATGGAGTGAGCTCCCATCTCTGGTTCCAGCTCCTGCCAGTCTAGCAGTTTGAAAGCAAGAAATTGCAAGTAGATAAATAGGTACCGCTTCGGTGGGAAGGTAACAGCGTTCTGTGAGCCTTGGCGTTTAGTCATGTCGGCCACATGACCACAGAAACGTCTTTGGACAGCGCTGACTCTTCGGCTTGGAAACGGAGATGAGCACCACAACCCTAGAGTCGGATTCGACTGGCTTTCGAGAAAGGGAAACCTTTACCTATAGATAGGAACTCTCAGTCTGGGGCAAGTGATGCTCTGTATTCTTGGTGTTTGGGGGGTGGGCAACAGTGGGGGGGCTTCTAGTGTCCTGGCCCCACTGCTGGACCTCCTGATGGCACCTGGTATTTTTGGCCACTGTGTGACAGAGTGTTGGATTGGATGGGCCATTGGCCTGATCCAGCATTGGCTTCTCCTATGTTCTTATAGAGTTTATGAACTTATATGAAGTTGCCAGTGTGCTGTAGAGGTTAGAATGTCAGGCTAGGATCTGGAAGACCCAGGTTTGAATCACTGCTTCACTGCAGAAGTTTGCTGGGTTGTGTTGGGTCAGTCACATACACTCAGCCTAGCCTACTTCGCAGGGTTGTGAGGATAAAATGGAAGAGAGACCACTTTGGGTCTCCATTGTGAAGAAAAGAAGGGGTATAAACAAAGTAAATATGGTATGGGGCGATTGGTTTATCTGTTCCAGTCCTGTCCTTTTTTTTGGGGGGGGGGTGAGCATTTTGTGTGTGCATGCCTGGAAATCATGGTTGACTTCTGGCGACCTCTAGTGGTGTTTGAACGTTTCAGAGAGGTGCCTGCCTCTGCATCCCAGCACTGGTATTCCTTGGACATTTCCCTTCCAAGTACTTGCTCTGGTCAGCCCTGCTTAGCTTCTGAGATCCAGTCCTGTCTGTCTTGACTGGCAGTTCTACCCACATCCTTGGGGCTCCTGAGGAGGAAGGGCTTAAAGTTCCATGGTGGGGAAATGGTTTCTGCAAACGCTCAGCAGGACACGCCAAGTCTCCGTGGTGCCTGTGTGGGTGGAAGGAAGCAAGTTCAGGAGTTGGAGCCCCTGCTTTGCGTGCGGAAGGTCCCAGGCTGGCCCTCTGCTGCAAGGGATCCTACGAACAAGCCGCATGCAGAGAGTCAGACCGTTAGGCTGACTTGTCCTGCACATGGAGAGGTCCCCTTTTTTCTGTCCGGGAAGTCCAGTGTTCCCTCTAAGCTGAGTTACTGTGAGCTAGCTCACAGTTTTTTAACTTCTGGCTCACACAGTTTTGTCTCAGCTCAGGAAGGATGGGCTCCAGAGCAAACTAATGCATGCGATAGCCAAATTGCCTGCTCACCACTTTAATGGCTGTAGCTCACAAAGTAGGATTTTTGCTTACGAGACCCCACAGCTTAGAGGGAGCATGGCCGGGGACACCAGGGGTGGAATCAGAATTCAACCTGCCCACTTTGGGCCAGCGAACGATAGTCCCTTCCCCCAGATCAGCTCCCGGGTCCCCATCCAACCATGGCTGCCTTTCTCTCTTCCCAAAGGTACCTACCCGTTTGTGACCTCCTCCAATTGCACCGTGGGGGGTGTCTGTACGGGCCTCGGCATCCCTCCGCAATACATCGGCAAGGTGTATGGCGTGGTGAAAGCCTACACTACCCGGGTTGGCGTTGGGACGTTCCCCACAGAGCAGGACAATGTGAGTCTGCAGCCCCTTTGGGGGGGGGGGTTCAGGGCTGGGCAAGGGTCGGGAGGGTCCCGGGCTGCACAACCCCAGTAGCTGTGTCTCTTGTGGGCTCGATGCACCGGGAGGAGGCATTTGTGGGTGGTAATACCTGAACCGCCTTGTAATCATTTTTCTTTCTGTTTCTTGGGCCTCTTTCAGGAGATAGGAGAGCTGCTGCAATCCCGGGGGCACGAATTTGGCGTGACCACAGGCCGGAGGCGCCGCTGCGGCTGGTTGGATCTTGTGCTGGTGAAATATGCCCACATGATCAATGGATTCAGCGCGTAAGCCCCTCCTGACTTGCATCAGCCTGGGCATTTCTCCCTTCTCTCCCCCAAAGGGTCACATTTCCTGATTCCCTTACCAGGCTTGTGCCCTCTTTCCAGCAGGGTTCTCCTTTGCAGCAGTACCGTGTAGAACCGTATGGCACCGTTGCTTTCTCACACAGAGGGTGGCTAAAATGTGGCATTCGCTGCCAGAGGATGCAGCGACGGCCACAGGAACAGACAGCTTTAAAAGGGGAATAGACAGCTTCATTACGGATAGGTCTGTCAGTGGCTGAGGGGAACCTCCACGTTCAGACACAGTCAGCCTCTGAACCCCAGTGTCGGGAGGCCCCAGCCTCTATGCCCTGTCGGCCCTTCAGAAGAGCTGGTCGGCCACTGCGTGAGACAGGATGCTGGACTAAATGGACCACTGGCCTGACCCAGCAGGGCTTTGCTTATGTTGTTATGACTGACTGTGGCAAAGCGTTTGGCAGTAGTCTTTAGTTGCCCTGACCTGGATAGCCCAGGCTAGTCCAGTCTCATCAGATCTCTGAAGCTCAGCAGGTCAGCCCAGGTTAGTAATTGGAGGGGAGGCCACCAAGGAAGTCCACGGTCGCAACACAGAGGCAAGCCACGGAAAACCACCCCGGCTCGTCTCTCACCTTGAAAACCCTACGGAGTTGCCGTGAATTGGCTGCCCATTGATGGCTTTTTACAGCACCAGTCAACAGTGCCCTGACCAGGATGGCCCAGGCTGGCCTGATCGCATCGGATCTCAGTAGCTAAGCAGGGGCCGGCCCTGGTTGGTACTCGGACCGGTGATCTCCAACCAAGTCCCAGGTTCCTACGCAGAGTCAGGCAGTGGCAAACCGGCTTTGTTTTTCTCACCTGTAGCTTGAAGGCTCTGTCCACCAATCTTCTGTTGGCTTTTAGCTCTGTTCACTTAATTCAGAGGGACTTTGGTTGAAGTGGAGGGGGGTGCCAGGCAGTGCTCCCTCGAAGCCGTGGAGTCTTGCGAGCAAAAATTCTCCTTTGTGAGCCGCTGGCATTAAAGTTGTGAGCGAGCGATTTGGCCTACTGCATAAATTAGTTTGCCCTGGAACCCTCCTTCCTGAGCTTAGATGAAAATCTGTGAGCTGGAGGCTAAAAAACTGTGAGGTAGCTCAGCTTAGAGGGAACACAGGTGCCAGGTGCGTGACGCTTTAATAGCTTGCTGGGATGGGTGGGAAGCTGCTTGAAGGGAGTTGACATCTGCTTAAAGGGAACGGTACATAAAATGAAGAGAAGTCTTGTCTGTATCTCTGCTCTTTTCCATTACTGGGGGAGATCATTGTAGTGAAATACGTTTTTCCTGTAGCCTGGTCTGGATGAATGTTTGCAGCCTCCCCCCTAACTTTTTCCTCCCCTGTGTCTTATTCGTAGCCTGGCCGTGACCAAGCTCGATATCCTGGATACCTTTGAGGAGATCAAAATTGGCGTGGAGTACCGGCTGGACGAGAAACGCATACCTTATTTTCCAGGTGACGCTGTAGGGGAAAGTTTTTTTTTTGGGTAGCCACCGGTGGGTGACGGGGTTGTTCTGTGTACCCTTCACAAGTCAGACCCTTATGGTTCCCTTACTGTGTTTCCGAGGCCAGAGAACGAGAAGGCTCTGGAGTCTTCTGTGAGATTTTTAATTGGTGCCGGGCTTCGCTGTGGTTAATACAGAAAGGAAGCACTGCTTCAAACCCTACATAATTAACTCAGGGAAGCCGCTGTCACATGACGCGCTAATGGCTGTGGGGATTAGACGCCTCGTCGCTGGGGGAGGAGAGCTCTGCAAACAGCGATTAGCCACAGTAGCTTGATGGGGCCTTCCCATTCTGAGACGGGAATTAATCACGGCCAGTCGTCCTGTACTCTGCAAGGTTTCCAGGTCACAGGATGGTGGCTGTCAGGCTAGCCATGCTCCTTGGCCCTTTTCTTCCAGGACACTGAGCATTAGAGATTTGGGGGGAGGGGTAGGGATTCATACGGTCTTTTCTCAGCTGTGGCTGGGGGAGTGTGCCTAATAAATGGGAAGAGAAGGCAGGACAGCTATTCTCCTAGGCCCTGGCCCCCGGGTCCTAGAGGACCAGTCAGTGGTCTCAGTTATCTAAAGTTTGGATCGGGGTTCTCTCTCCCCAGGGCCAGTCCAGGTTTTTGGGGGGGGTCCAGGCAGAGAGTTCCCAGGGTCCCCTCCCCTCCTCTGTCCCCTTCTTCCACCACTCGGGTGTACTTCTCTTGGCTGCTCATGAGCCCTCTCCGTGCCCGCAGCCGCCTGCAGTCCTCTGCCCGGTAGCATCGGGCAGTGGTGGTAGCCGGGAGCATGGGTGGTGGAGCGCTAGCCAACTAGTGTGCACGGGACATCGGCAGCAGTGGGCCCCGCTAGACCCCTGGGCCCCCGTCTCTCCATCCCTTTCTTCCTCTCTCTCAGTGGGGAAGAGAAAGAGTCCGTCTCGGGTGGTGCCGGCTTTCCTTAGGAACAGGGGTGTTGCTCTGGCTTGCAGTAACAGCTTCTGTCCCGCCACCCCCACAGCAAACCAGGAGCTCCTCAACAAGGTGACCGTGGAGTACAAGACACTGCCCGGCTGGCAGTGCAGCACCGAGGAGGCCCGCAGCTTCAGCGACTTGCCCCCCCATGCCCAGGGCTACATCCGATTCATCGAGGATTACCTCGGGGTGCCAGGTGAGCCTGACCGCCGCTCTCTGGAGACCTGAGCAGCAGCTGCAGCCGGGGCGTTGCCGGCTGGTCTTTCAGCAGCACGGACCCAGAAGCTGCAGCCGGTGCGCTCGGGCCTCGGTCCCGTCTCAGGTTCTCAGTGCCCCCTCCCCGATTCTCTCTCTCTCCTGCAGTGAAGTGGGTCGGAGTGGGGAAATCCCGCACGTCCATCATCAAGCTTTTCTGAGGCTGGCGCCGCCGGACCCTCGTTCTGGAAGAAGACGGCGGGCCCGCCCCGTTCCCACCACCACCGCACGCATTTCACAGACCAATCAGCGGAGGACGGTGCATGGGGGCGGAGTAACCCCCCCCCCCCCCCCCGTTGGCCCTCCTTTTCTCCAGGCAGCCTGTCGCTTTCTCCCTGCTAAGAGCACTCCTCCTCACCCTCTTTCCTTTCCGTAGAGGCCTGTGATCTCACTGCAGCCGGCCCCTCCTGTCCACCACCCCCTGCTCCATCACGGAGCCCGTGGGAGTCGCTCTTTCCAGCCCTGGCCATTCCAGCTGTGCTGCCTGTTCCCCGTACTGGGAGGGAGAGGCCAGTCCCATCCCCCCGCCCCACCCCCAGTCCTTTTGGATGGCTAGCACACTCCATTTCCCTCTTCCACGTCCTTGTGTCTGTCTGCCCACCACTGTTTGGTTCAGCCGTAATGCCAAACCACAACAACGAAACAAGCCGGGAAGGAACGTTAGGCTTGCTCGCGTGATTCCCTCCTCTCCTCGACTGCCACAATCCGGATTAGTGACTTCCTCTTTTGGGGCCCACTGTGGCTTGCCATGACATCTGGATTTGCTGCTGCAGTGGCCCCGCAGATGTTGCTTCGCACTTCTGCTGGCAGTCCCAGTTTTCAGGGCAAGAACCAGCCGCGGTTTGCTGGTTTGGGTATAGTAGCAACTTCTGCAAAATGGGAAGGAACGAATCGGATTGTTGTGAGGGAGGGATCGAGGCGGCCCACCAGGGGACTTGGTGGTGCCTTGTGGGTACTCTGGTGCCCATCAACACCTTTCCTGGTGCCCACCGAGTGCTTTTAGAAAGTGGGCAAGGGGGTAGGTGGGGCTTTTGCCCAGCGGGGCGTCTGATTGGCTGCACGGATTGAAAGGCATGCTGTTAAACAGAGCATCTGCCTGAAATGTTGAAGTGGTATTATTAGAGTTATAATATAGCATTTTATGGCCGGTGTGCTTCCTGTGCCAGCCATTTGGGGATTGCCCCCACCTCCCTGTGTCAGAATTCCAAAGGTGCCCAACGGCTCAAAAAAGTCAGGGGCCGCTGTGCTAGCATAAAGCTTCTTCAGGGCTTGTTCACGCAGTGCCAATTCAGCATTTGGTTTTACATCTGAACCCCCAAACCGTATTAGGTTGCTGGTGAATGTCACCTGCCTGCCCCAGCACTCCAGGACGTCGTGGTGCTGCTAAGTATGAGACATCCCAACGCAACTGGGCAGTTTTGTCCTCTCCTAATCATGGAGCGATCAGATTAATCCACTTGGGGGGGGCGGACCCCCCGTTTCTCCTCCCCTTGTGCTGCAGACCATGTCTGCTCCCTCTCTTTCCCCTCCCGTGATTTTGTGGAGGAATGTCCGGCTGGTTTAGAACTCTGCACTGAACAGACAGCCCAAGCTCTGTGATTAGAGATGCCTATGCAAACGAAGCCCTCTTCCGGGCGGGGCCTGGCAAGGGGGCGTCGACTGTAGAAGTGCTACCCGGAATCACCGGAGATCTTTCCCCCCGTCCATAGTTCGGAACCTTTTATTTTTAAAACAGAGAGAGAGGTTTTTCAGAGGCAACAGAATACCGGTCCCGACACAATCCGACCTGCACGGTGTCACCCCTCCCATCCTGACGTATTATTCCTGCCACTTTGAAAGGGAACTTCCCAACGTTGTTGTGTCAACGCCTGTGGCCCAGCGGGGTTTTCTGGGCATTTCTGAAGCTGCCACTTTTTCACTGTAGATGATTAAATATCAATAAAGAATGATTATTTTGTCACGAGGATCTCTGGCACCTCAGAGCGATGTCCCTCAATGCCCGTCGTTTATGCTTTGCTGTGGGAAAGGACTCTCTGCCCCTCAAATGGCTGCGTTCAGCTCTGGTCCTTTCCCCCATATTTCTAGTTTAAACCATCTCCGTCTTAATCCCATCCTAGAGCCAGAAGGGATAGTGGAGAGACCCCAGATTTGGGCGGCAGGGAAATCCGATCGACACAGTACAATTTTGCAATAGCATTTAGAAGTCTCTAAGTCAGCTTTGTGAAACCTGGCATCACAGTCGCACAGGGCCAATTTTGTTCACTCGGCCATCAAGGCCCAGCATGGCGTAGTTGTTAAAGTGTGGGATGGGGATTTGGGGAACACAGGTTCGAATCCCCACTGGTGCCCCGGAAGCTTGCTGGGTGACCTTGGGCCAGTCACACACTCTCAGCCTAACTTGCCTCACAGGGTTGTTGTGAGGATAAAACAGAGGAAAGGAGAGTGATGGAATCTGCTTTGGGTCCCCGTTGGGGAGAAAGGCAGGGTATAAATACACAAAACAAATAATAGATTTGCCATGGAAACCAGAGTTTCGCCCACTTCAGTCACTGCCAGTTTGAGCCCCAGAATTCAGTCACTACATCATAAGAACATCAGAAGAGCCCCTTGGTCAGACCAGTGAGGATCCATCTGGTCCAGCATCCTGTCTCACATAGTGGCCTCAATCAGTTCCTCTGCAGGGCCAACAACAGGGCACAGAGGCCGAGGCCTTCCCCTCATAAGAACATCAGAAGAGCCCCGCTGGATCAGACCAGTGAGGGTCCATCTGGTCCAGCATCCTGTCTCACACAGGGGCCAGCCAGTTCCTCTGGAGGGCCAACAACAGGGCATAGAGGTCGAGGCCTTCCCCTGATGTTGCCTCCTGGCTCTGGGATCCAGCAGCTCTGAGATCCTTTGCCTCTTGCACAGTGGGGTGTTCCGCGTAACACCCCCCCCATCAGCCCTTTAACACTGACACAGTTTTGTGATTTCCAGTTTTAATTTAATTACTTTCTGTGCTCTCTGGTACACTGTGGGTGGGTAGCTCTGAGATCCTTTGCCTCTTGCACAGTGGGGTGTTCCGCGTAACTGGAGAGAGGCCTTCCCTGGCAGAGGCCATGCTGCTCCCCCCCCCATCAGCCCTTTAACACTGACACAGTTTTGTGATTTCCACTTTTACTTTAATTACTTTCTGTGCTCTCTGGTACACTGTGGGTGGGCAGGACTGGCACAAACCGCCTGGGCTCTGGAATTGGGATACCCTGAACCCTTCCCTGGGCATTGTTGGGGGGTGGGGGCAAGGAGGAGACAGCTTCAGCACCTCTGATTCGGAGCTAAACTCCATTGACAGAGTGATTCAAGGCTGGGGCGGGCGGGCTCATGTTCCAGGTGGGTTGCTCTGTTTGCAGTTAGTCTCTAGGACCCCCTGGGAGCGCGACTGCTCTCATGCTCTGCCGAGTGAGGGCTGTCCCTTCTTAGGAGGGCAGGGTGCTTTCTCACTCGCAGGGAATTGGTTTGTTGCGCTGGGTCAAAGGTCTGTGGCAAAATAGCCACAACTGATGGGGAGGCCGCCAGAGGAAATGGGCGCCAGCTCCCCCCTCTCCCCCACTGGCAGCCCCCCAAGTGGCAGTCTCGGTCCCCGAGATGCCTCATGTCTCCCTAACCCTGATTCCAACCCCGATTTGGTGCTGAGGATGTCCAGAGGGAGGGGGGGGGAAGGGGAGCGGCCCAGATGCCTACTGGGCCCAAGGAGCCGGTGCTGTGGGGCAAGCGAAGCTTAGAGCAGGGCGCAGAAGAATTTCTTCTCCCGGAAGGGGTTTTCTGAGGTGGGCACAGGGGTGATGAGGGGGTCCTCGCAGGCGTGAGCGTCGCAGTAGGTCATCAGGTCTGCTGCTGCCTTGGAGACCTGGAAGCAAAGAGGAGGAGAGAGACGGGAGAACTCTCAAGATGGTCAGGCTGGCCCAGCTGTTCAGACAAGTGACAAGGAAGGCAATTGTGGGCATGACGGTTTGGTTCCATCCGTGGGCTTCTGAGGCAGAGTTCCCACCCTAACTGGCCATGACCATCGCTATACAGCTACCATCTAGAGACAGGTCATCAGGTCTGCTGCTGCCTTGGAGACCTGGAAGCAAAGAGGAGGAGAGAGACGGGAGAACTCTCAAGATGGTCAGGCTGGCCCAGCTGTTCAGACAAGTGACAAGGAAGGCAATTGTGGGCATGACGACGTGGTTCCATCAGTGGGCTTCTGAGGCAGAGTTCCCACCCCAACTGGCCATGACCATCGCTATACAGCAACCATCTAGAGATCTCAGTGCAAAACAGGGTCTCTTTTGCCCTTTATGCTTGCATGCTGCATTGAAAGTTGCTTTATTCTATTGCGTTTGTATCTCGCCCTTCCTCAAATGAGTTCAGGGCAGTGTAGGTGGTTTCCATTGTCCATTTTATCCCCACAACAACCCTGTGAGGCAGGTTTGGATAAGAGAGCGACAGGCCCCCGTGCTCTTCCGTGTCTGACTGGGGCTTTGAACTAGGTTTCCCCAGTCAAAGGGCTTTTCCGCATCCTCATTTTCCTTGCTTGTGTTCCTGTTGCTTCTGGGAGGGGGGTTGGTTTCTGTTCTGCATGTTTTGCTCCCTCTAGTGGTCAATTCGATATTACATCGGTTTATGTCCAGCCTATCTCCCTGAAGATTTCAACTGCAATTTTTTTAATGCTGGACATACACCGATGTTATATCAAATCAACCACTAGAGGGAGCAAAACGTGTGCAGAACAGAAAAAAAACAAAATGGGAAGACACAAGCAAGAAAAATGAGAATGCAGGAGAGTCCACGGTCTGTCACTAGACACCACCCTAGCCTACAGGAGGCTCTGGCGTTCCCAGCTGTTCCATTTTTTAATTGGAGGGGCCGGGGATTGAACCTGGGACCTTCAGCATGCCAAGCAGATGCTCCACAGCCCTTCCCCCCAACTCTATCCTTGTACGTGCAAAGAAGCACCTGCATCTTCTGCAGCCTTCTATGGTGTGTGTTGCATCTTCATCTCTCTGGGGCCTGGCTTTGAGGTAGGCCCAGTCCACACCAGGTATGCCACAACCTGGAACACTGCCTTTCAGGCCACAGGTGCTCCAGTACTCATGAATTTTATACAGACAAACAAGAAAAGGTAAGTTCTGGATCAATCTTGGTTGGGGAGCACCTTTGGGGGAATTCTTTGGGGCAACATTCTTCCTCAAGCACCTTTGGGGGAATTCTTTCTGGCAACATTCTTCCTCAAGCACCTTTGGGGGACTTCTTTCTGGCAACATTCTTTCTCAAGAAGCCAACGTTTTAGGACTGTTAGAGTCAAGTCCAGGAGCCCTTTAGAGACCAAGATTTTCAGGCTTGCTGTCTGATGAAGAGAGCTTTGACGCTTGAAAGCTCATACCCTGAAGATCGTGTTGGTCTCTTAAGATGCTACTGGACTTCTGTCTAACTTCTCTATTGCAGACTAACTTGGCTGCCCCCCTGAAACTGACATTTCAGCCTACCCGTCTGCTATTGTCATGTGGCACACGAAATCACTCTATTCTCCAACGATAAGGACAGATGAACTTACATTCTAGCCGTATCTGAAGAAATGAGCAGTGGGTCAGGAAAGCTCCTACCCTGCCACAGATTTTGTTAGTCTTTAATGCGCTAGTGGACTCTTGCTCTTTTCTTCTGCTATAGACGAAGACGCCTACCCCGTCTTGAGCTAGGAGCTGCAGATTAATTTGAGTGGGATGAATACCAGCTCTTGCCACATGAGGGCGTATCTGTACAACCTACTGGTTACCAGACAGCAACACACACCCCCACCAATGTTCCCTCTAAGCTGTGGAGTCTCGTGAGCAAAAATTCTACTTTGTGAGCTCCTGGCATGAAAGTTGTGAGCGAGCGATTTGGCTACTGCATAAATTAGTTTCCTCTGGAGCCATCCTTCCTGAGCTAAGACAAAAATGTGTGAGCCGGAGGCTAAAAAACTGAGCTAGCTCACATTAACTCAGCTTAGAGGGAATACTGACCCCCACTCCCCCCAAAAAACACCCTTGTTTTTGAACAGTTTAAAATGCAATGCAATTATTTGGGAGGAAAGGTAGGAGTGGCTATTTGGATCCTTTTACAAATGTGCAGCAGCTCCACATTCTTTGCACAGGAGCTGAATACGTTAGAAAGGTTTGTGGCCTGCCCAGCAGTCTTGGCGTGGCTTAGTCTGTGCAAAGAGCCCTGGCTTCTCCTGGAACTGAGCAACAATATCTGGGCTGAGAGTCATGACAGTTAAGCAAGACTGAAACTGATTTGCATTAGGAGTGGCGACGTGCTCTGCAAGAAGGGAGGGGCTGCCTTCAGTCCTGTATGGGCACACACCCCCTCCAATAAGACCATATCCTCCATGATCTACTTAATGCATGTTAAATTTACAAAGCAAGGCCCCATATTAGAGCTTCCAAAGTTGGCTTGGAAAAAACGAGATTTGGAGCAGTACCCAGGAAGCTCAGTGGTACTATGATGCTGTCGAATTCACATTCAGAAGCTGCCATTTCCTCCAGGGGAACTGATCACCGGAGTCTGAAAATGAATTGCAATCCCAGGAGAACCACAGGCCCCACCTGGAGGATGGCAGCCCTGCGCCACGCCTTCCAGCACTGAATGCATCACTAGTCTCTTCAGTGATTCGCTGGTTTAAGGAGACAAGTACATGTGGCTTCTCATTAAAAATTTGCCATGGCACTTTTACCAAACAGAATTTAGAACAAAACACCAAACTCATCAGTGGATGTATACCAGAATAATAGTTAAAAAAAAACACCCACAATCCTAATTACCAAAACATGTTTTGTTTGTCTTTTTGGAAGAACAGGATCAAAGAGCCCCCAAGGAATGACCTGGGGCGTGCATAGCAAAGATCCTGCTTTCAGAGAAGACCAGTCTTGGCAAATCTCAAAACACTGTAGAGCAGGCATGTCCAACTTCGAACAGGTAGCATAGGCGTAATCTTCGTGGGGGCGGTGGGGTGTCAGCCCCCGCCGAAATTTTCAGGAAGGTGCTCAGCCTCCCCCGGGAGCCACCCTTGCTCCTAGCAAAGCAATGCCTCTGGCCCAGCCCCAGCCTCCCCCGGGAAATTGGAAAGTCTACACCCTTGACAGGTAGTGATCTATTTTTTCCGGCCAAAAGTGCCACTGATATACCACAATGAAAATAAAGTTTCAAATTAGTTTCAATTTAGAATTTAACCCACTAAAGTTGGATTCCACCCCCCTCCAAAAAAAAAACACAAACCCACACATGCAGTTCTAAAAGTAAAAATAAGAATTCATACTGGCACCAATAATCAAATACCACCAAACAATCATAAAAAAAACCCCAAACACCTGTCCAGCATACCAGGAGACCAAGTGGGGCTGGTGATCTACCTCTGACCCAGTAGATCACGATCTACCTGTTGGACATACCTGCTGTAGAGGATCGATGTAGTCCATGAACTGTGTTTGCCAAGATGTGTAGAGAAACCACTTAAGTCTGCAAGACTATTAGCACCAGCTAAAGTCTCGGGGGTGGGAGGTGCCTGCAGTGTGTGGTGTTTCTGGTCCAGCCCTGGTAAGAGAAGTAGCCACCTTGCCCCTCCCTGCCTTCTTTTGCCCCCCCTCCCATTCATACCTTTATCCTGCACATGCTGGCTTCGATCTTCAGCTGCTCCACCATTTTCCGGGCCTGTCCGATGCTCATGGTGCTGTTGACGGGGGTCTCGCCCTTCATGGCGATGCTGTAAAGGGGCGCAAGGTAAGAAATTGGGGGGAGGGGAGAGAGTGGCTGCCACTTTTTATTTTTTTTAAGATGAGACAAATTTACGAAGGAGAGCGCGTGGTTTCTTCCTCTGGCATAATACTAGGACTGGAGAGCACCCAATTAAGTTGAAGGCCAGTAGATTCAGGATAGATCAAAAGGAAACACTTCTTGACTCAAGTAAATAGTGGAATTCGCTGCCAGTGGAGGTAGCGTAATTTTAGAAAGGGGCTAGACAGATTCACCGAGGAGAGGTCCATGAGCAGCTACTAGCTGTGATGACTAAAGGGAACCTCTGAATACCAGTGCCAGGAGGCAGTATTGGGGGGGGGGGCTTGTGCCCTGTTTGTTGGTCCTTCTGGGCAACCGGTTGGCCATGGGTGGAACAAGAAGAAGAAGAGAAGAGATTGGATTTATACCCCACCCTTCACTACCCAAAGGAGTCTCAGAGTGGCTTACACACTCCTTTCCCTTCCCCTCCCCACAACAGACCCCCTGTGAGGTAGGTGGGGTTGAGAGAGCTCTGACACAAACTGCTCTTTTTCAAGGACCGCTCTTTTCAGAACTACGGCTTGCCCAAGGTCATCCAGCAGGTGCAAGTGGAGGAGCGGGGGAATCAAACCCGGTTCTCCCAGATTAGAGTCCGCGCACTTAACCACAACGCCAAACTGGCTCTCCCAGATGGACCCCTAGCCGATCCAGCAGGGCTCTTCAGCTCTTCTCACATTTCCAGCAGCAGCCTACCAGGCCCTTCCAGGGGGCTCAGGAAAAAGGCATGAAGGAAACAGCTTTCCCTATCGGTTGTCCCCAGTTGCTGTCACTGGGAGGCAGACTGCAGCTGGACGCGGAAGTTCCACTTAGCGATCGTAGATGATTAGAAATACAATTACAATGATAAAATAAATTAATCAGGAGGTTCCTATATGGTGGTCTCCCACCCAAGGTTCGTGTGGGAGGAGGCTGTCCTTAAGGTATGTCGGTCCCAGGCCGTACAGGGCTTTAAAGGTCAATACTGGCACCTTGAGTTGAGCCCAGAATAAAACTGGAAGCCACCCTAGGTGGAACAAGACAGGAATGAGAGGGCCTTGGCCTGGGTGGCCCAGCCAGCTGGCTTTTGTAAAGCTAAGCAAGATCAGTCCTGGTTATTACTTGGATGGGAGACCCCCAAGAATGTCCAGGCTTCCTACGCAGAGACAGGCAGCAGCAAAGTACCTCTGAGAATGTGACTTAATCCCCTCCTCACACACCAAATTAGCTGTTGCTTTTAGCTGGTTGTCCTTTTTTGTGCTTGATTGGGGGGGTATTTTTTGTGTGTGTGTGCCTGTGCCTGGAAGTCATGGCGACCTCTGGGGCACGGAGGACATTCAGAGAAGCGGCTTGATAGCCTGCCTCTGGCCTCCCGGCCCTGGTGTTCTCTGGAGGTCTCCTACCCAAATACTTGCCAGGGTCGTCCCTGCTTAGCTTCTGAGATCTGATGAGATCCGGCTTGCCTGGGCGATCCAGGTCAGGGTTTATGCTTCTTCTTCTTCTTTTTTAATGTAGCACAAGGACCCTGGGCAGTGTTCCCGCTAAGCTGAGTTAGTGTGAGCTGGCTCACAGTTCTTTAGCCTCCAGCTCACAGATTTTTGTCTTCACTCAGGAAGGAGGGCTCCGGAGCAAACTGATTTCTCCAGAAGCCGACTCGCTCGCTCACAACTTTAATGTCGGGAGCTCACAAAGTAGAATTTTTGCTCACAAGACTCCACCGCTTAGAGGGAACATTGACCCTGGGTATCTTTTCTATGATGGGAATGTAAAGGCTGCAAAAGGTTCTGGAGGACCAATCTCTTAACTAATGCATTATTTACCGTATGGCATTGTGTGTAGAATAGCCAGGAGGTCCTAGGATTGTCCGGCAGCCACAAGTTGTAGCTCTTAGCGTTATGCTAATGGTGAGCTAGACTTGTGTTTAGGGGCTGAGAGAGCTCTGAGAGGATGGTGACTGGCCCAAGGTCACCTAGCAGGCTTCGTGTGGCGGAGGAGTGGGGAATATACAACCCGGTTCTCCAGATTAGAGTCTGCTGCTCTTAGCCACGGCATCTGCTGTGATAGTGAAATGGAAGCTCCGTGCTAAGAGACAGTATACTTTTGATACCAAATGCTGGGGATGTTCACGGGGGAAGGGCAATTTCCTTCATCACCTGGCTGTGGGCTTCCTGGAGGCAAGGTATATCAATGAAGAAGAAGAGTTGGATTTATACCCCGCCCTTCACTACCGGAAGGAGTCTCAGAGCGGCTTACAACCTCCTTCCCTTCCTCTCCCCACAACAGACAACCTGTGAGGCAGGTGGGGCTGAGAGCTCTCTTGAGAACTGCCCTTGAGAGAACAGCTCTGAGAGAACTTGTGACTGACCCAAGGTCACACCAGCAGCTGCATGTGGAGGAGTGGGGAATCAAACCCGGTTCTCCCAGATTGGAGTCTGCTCTCCTAACCACTACACCAAACTGGCTCTCTTTGAAAGAGGATGTAGGACTAGATGGACCTTCAGCCAGAGCCAACAGGGCAGTTCACGTCCTCCTCAGTGACGTAGACCTACCAACTCCTTGTTGAAAGGCCCAGTGCTCCAAGCTGCCCCACCTAATGCACGGATCTCCACAGGCCACCTCCCTCTGCTGTCTGCTATAGCTTCTTCCTGAATGAGAGCCAGCGCCATGCAGAGGTCAGAACGTCCAATCAGGATCTGGGAAGCCCTGGCTGCTGTCTCCTGGGTAGCTTTGGGCACTCTCTCTCTCTTTCGGGCCACTCACTCTCTCAGCCTAACCTACCTCACGGGGTTGTCGTGAGGATAAAATGGAGGATGGGAGAATGATGTAAGCCACTCTGGTCCTCATTGGGGAGGCAAGGATAAATGAAAATTAATTAAACTAATAATTTTTAAAAATGAAGTGATGCAGATATGAAAATGGGATTCAACCCACTAATATTACCATGTTTTACTATCTGGTTTCAATAGGAGGGTTAGTAAGAAACTTATGACCACCACAAATGCACAGTTTTTAAGAGAACGGATAATATCGCCTGGTGCGTTACCAGTCCCGATCAGAGCTTTTAAATAGAGTTTGGCCCCAGTTGGACCGGGAATCTGTTGTGGATGCCAGAAACCATAAGAATTAAGATGGCAGTGCCTTTGAACATGCGCAGAGTAGTCCCGATGAACAACAGCCCCACAAGCAAAATTTGGGACTGAGGTAGAAGAAGAAGAGACTGGATTTATACCCCACCCTTCACTCAGAGTCTCAGAGCAGTTTACAGTCTCCTTTCCCTTCCCCTCTCCTACCCACCCTAGACACCCTGTGAGGTAGGTGGGGCTGAGAGAGCTCTTTCGAGGGCTGCTCTTGAGAGAACAGCTCTGAGAGAACTTGTGACTGACCCAAGGTCACACCAGCAGCTGCATGTGGAGGAGTGGGGGAATCAAACCCGGTTCTCCCAGATTAGAGTCCACACTCCTAACCACTACACCAAACTGGCTCTCAGTGAAAGGCTTCCAGGCAGTTCCAGTTGTTTTGTGAGGGCTTTTTTGGGGGGGGGGCTGAGTAGACAGCGCCTCAGGCCCTCTTCTGCCCATCACCAAGCTCTCCTCATGCTTCCTTGTCCACCCACCCACTTATGCGTGGGCGGGGGTCAGCAACACTGGGCCCACTGGCATACGATTGCCCACTCCAGGCTGGGAAACAGCTGGCGATTTGGGGGGTGGAGCCTGAGGAGGGCAGGGCTTGTGGAGAGGAAGGACTTCAATGAGGTACAGTGCCACAGAGTTCACCTTCCAAAGCGGCCATTTTCTCCAGCAGAACGGATCTCTGTCACCTGGAGATCAGTTGTCATAGCGGGAGATGGCCGGCTGGAGGTCTCTCCGGGTCTGCGGATGCCAGCCCTGCTCCCAGCGAAGGTTACCTTGCAGGAGCCTCCTCTTAAAAACGGAGGGCAATCTCTGAGCCTCAACTGCCCAGCACCACTAAGGTGGGCAGATATTTTAAGAACAGTGTTTGGGGGCTCAGAAGGGCCACAGATTCCCTGTTGAATTTGTAACCCCGCCCCCTTCCCATAAGCCCATCAAGTCTTGCTTATCATATAAGAGCCCAGAGCAGCACACATGATTTTTCCGAGGGTTGCCCTGGCCACTGGCGGGCGATGGGAGAGTAGGGTTGCCAGATCCAGGCTGAGAAACGCCTGGAGATTTGGGGGTGGACCCTGGAGAGGACATGGGCCTCAGTGGGGTACAATGTCCTACAGTCCACCCTCCAAAGCAGCCATTTTTCCCCAGAGGAACTGATCTCTGTAGTCTGGAGATGAGCTCTAATTCCGGGGGATCCCCAGCTCCCACCCACCTGGAGGCTGGCATCCCTGTCCCCCACCTTTTATTTTCACAACAACTCTGTGAGGTTGGCCTGAGACTGTGACTGTCACAAGGTGACTAGTTGCTTCATGGATGACGGGAGATTTGAACTCGGAACTCTTTGGTCATAGTTTAATACTCCTAAATGCTATACTGGTTAGTCTGAAGGTGGGCAAATTAGAGTTGCCAGGTTTCCCCTGGCCAGCAGCAGGGATGGGGGAGTACGGTTGCCAGACCCGGTTGGGAAAACTCCTGGAGATTTGGAGATGGAGCCTGGGGAGGACAGGGACTTCAGTGGGGTACAATGCCACAGAGTCCACTCTCCAAAGCATCCATTTTCTCCAGGGGAACTGATCTCTGTCGTCCAGTGAGGAGCTGTGATTTTGGAGGATCTCCAGGTCCCACCTGGAGGCTGGCATTCCTAGTGCAAACACCCGGTCCAGGTCAGCCAGTAAGATCCATGCTGACAGGGATTCAAACCAACTCTGTTCATAGCCTTCTGTGTACATGCTGCAGTTGTACTAGAACTGCATCATAGCCCGGGCCTGCATGAGTAAGAGTGGAATGCTAAGCATGTATCCGGAGTCCAACAGGGTTTACTTCCT